AATGAAAGCAGGATTCCTCTTTCTTCTAGTGTGGTAGCAGCTGGAAGCTCTGCTGCCCGTCATGTAGCGCGGTTCGTGTTCAAGCACATGGCTTGGATTCATTTTTTTTTTAATAATTTTGAGCACTTCATCTTCTGACATGTGATGGCCTGTCCCAGGCAGGGTGAAGGATGTCGAAGGTAGATTTTTTACTATCGTTGCACCTTTTATTCCCCACCCCCTGCACCCGCCGTACACAGAGGCACCACTCCAAAGCCTTACAGTGACTTTCATTTGATGCACGCGATCTCTCTGTGCCTGTGGATTCCCACTGTGGGATTACAGCAAACTCTTCACTCTGGAACTACATACCTCTGCTTTCGTGTCCTGGAGAGACCGACACATCTCACTATTGCCACTAACTGTCCTTAAGATGCGAAGCCAGAATGTGGATGAGCGTAGTGTCCCACTTAACCAGACCTGTGAAGATATGAGTGTGATTTGGAGAAATGCTGTAGCACAGCCTGTCCTTACGTGTGTTCTGCCTGTGGTGCTTAACAGCAGAGACCTCAAATGTGGGTCAGCAATTGCCCAGTTGCCTTCTGTCCTGTTCCTTCTCACTCACCCTCTGTCTAGCACAATCCTGTGTGTTCTGTTCTTTATTAGGGCGCCGAGCGCTGAATGAGGAGTAGGTTGTAAACTCCTTTGTCCGACAGAACAAGAGTCCTTTTCACTTTTAGCACACCCTGTATCCTACCATCTCAAACAGCTTTGCAATTGCTGATGAATTGCCTTCCCACAATGATTCTGTAGCGATGGGTGAATTTGGGAGCAGGGCTGGAGCAGGAAGGGGCAGCTTTCTGAAAGCCCACCTGCTGCTTTAAGTGCTGCCAGGGGGAAGCCAAGGAGAAGACTTTGCTGGACAAAAGGAAATGAAGAGCACCGCTCCCAGCTGGCCTTTTGCTGCCTGCCTTCCCCAGCGTGTCCCCAGGTACTCGCTGTTGAGAATAGTTTCTTGCCAACAACAACAAAATGGGTAAAAGCACAGTAGATGGTTCCCTCAAGAGAGTTAATAGGAAGCTCGGTCTGTAAGGCTGGAGTTATATATTGTTGTGTGCATTTTATATAAGCACCCTGTGCTGTAGAATTGTCTCACCCATGTTTTCAGTTAGGGTTGGAACAAGTCTTCGATAACATTTTCCCCTTCTTGAGCAGTTTAATTTGAAAACAGGACTGTAAATTAGTTTGTGCTGGTTCCTGCTGTTTGAGGATTTCCTACTTTTCTTTGGCAAAGTGTCCCTTCTGTCTGTCTGTTCTTATTTTATAGAGTCTATGGAGCAAGAAGGTGGTAGGAACAGGAACTGATTGCCTTCACTATGCACAAAAAACTCTTTAAGTTTTCATTCTCTGGAGTTGAAAAGTTGATAAGTAAACAGTAAGGGCTAAGAAATTCAGAATTAGTGTTGTGTTCCACTGTTCTCATTGAAAGCTAATATCTGGGCTTGGGTTCCGTTGTGCAAATATTGCCAAATTTGGTTTTATAGGCACTTAATAGATACCCTTTGCTGTGCCTTTGGATTCACGGTACAAACATGTGAAACATGTAGAACTGGTTAGCAAGAAAACTGAACTGTCTTGTTGAATTTTATTTCCTAAACATTGTGTTGAAAAAAAAGAAAGAAAAAGAAAAAAGCATATTTTTTTAATCATATAAATATTTATTGTCCTTTATAGAACAGGGGGGAGAAGAGCCTTAATTTTTTTAAAGGATCTGTCACCAAACCATTAAGATTCGTGTGTTATTGAATGATTTCTGTAAATGCACCTCAAAGTGTTTGAGGAAAGAGGTCAAGTGTTAGCGCTGCCCTGAATTTCTAAACTTTCTAATTCCTGTTTCGATGGCCATGAATCTTCCAGGAAAACATCTTTATACCTTTTGCACATCAGTTTGATCTGTATCAGTGTCTCTGTGGTGTCTGGACCTCTTAATCTGGACCTCTCTTTCATAAGTGTCTCTCAGAAACAAGCAAAAAGCCAAAGGAAGATCTTGGAAGGTTTTCTTCTATTATACATCATTTATGTTCTGCCCAGTGGTTTCCAGTCCTGGTCTATGCCTTGGGTTTTGGGTTGGGTTTTTTTTTTCCACACTGCTTACTGCTCGTTAATATCTTAATAGACACAGTAAACAAGTGTCAAAAAACGACCCTGCACAACAGAAACAGTCGTTGCTTGAGAGCGGTATAAAAACCAAACCAGACAGGAAAACGATTTTACTGTGCAGATGTGTGTGTGTGGTTTTTTTTCAGAGCTTGCTCTGTGGCACACAAGGTGCTTAAAAAAGCAAAACAAAATTAAAAAATTTTAAAAAAACACCCCAAAACAAAAAAACCCCAAGCACCTTGATTTAGTCGTGTAAAAGAAACTGATTGAAAAACAAAAATATGCTTTTGCTGGGATAGGCAGCGTGGAAAGAATGGTTGCCTGTGAAATTGATCATGCCCAGCTTGTGCTAGCTGAAATAATGCTCGTTGTTAAAACAACTGAAAGGGAAAAGCCATCTTGAGTGAAGCAGTTTCTAAGAAATATTTTAAATAAAGTCTCCTTCACGCAGACTGATAAAAACTTGAGTCTTTCAAATGTGAGTCAGAAAAGCCTCGTCTTTATTTGGATGAATTGTGCCTCACTGGTGTCTTCATCAGGAATGACCCGTTTGGAAAATGAAGGCATTTGATTCTCCTCCCTTCTGCTTGTGCCTACCTTGGCTTTGTGCTTTTTGTGTGACGCTGGGCCAACCATCCCTGTTTTACTCTTCCAGGTGGTGTTTCTCATTCCTATAACTTTAATTTGTGGTCATGGGACTCAAAACCACCTGAAGTTTAACGGTGTATTTTATACGCTGGTAACAGCACATTATGGGTCTGCATAGCTGGAAATTTTTACTGCAATAGAATTTGAAATCATGAGGGCAGACTGGAGTTCAGAAATAAGTCAACAATGTCAAAACTTACTTGTTTTGGGGTTTATTTTTTTTTAAACCGTTTGCAGTGACGCAGAAGTACTTTACAGACAGGGCTGTGATGACTGTAAAGTCACAGTGTTATCATGTTTATATAAAGAGGAGAAACTGCTGGGAGGTTTTTGCCTTATCAATCAGTAACTAACGCAGTCTTGCAAGAGTTTGAAATAAAAGTTTGGACGTTGCTTGTGTAGTAGTAATTGTTGTTTTCTTGTCTCAACAGTCCTAACAAACGAGTTCAAAGTAGAAACAGCCTTGCGATCAATAATAGGGTGTGTGTAAAGCCTACAGTGTGAACTGCCCTGTGTTGCCAGCAAAACAAATTAGGTCCTTTTCAGTGCAACATCTTGCATTATTGGAGTGTGATTGACCTACAAGCAGGACGGAAGCACGCGAAACTTTCACATCTGTGAGTCAGTTATAGTGGCTTTTAATCCAATATATCCAGCTAAGAGGAGAAAGAAAAGAATTCCTTGATGTGGTTGGTTGTTAATACGCCTTCCTCCTTATGGCTCATTAATTCACAGAGTGTATTTTGGGGCTGGCAGGCAGTTGCTCTGAATGCCCCTCTTTCTTTTCTTGATCAGCTTGATTTTCATGAGTATTGACTTGCACGAAGGAGAGGGCACATCTCAGAAAAATGGCAGTAGTTCCAAAGGAGACGAGTTAAGCTCAAGCAAGGCATTAAATGAACTCAAATTACCCCTATAATTGGGTAAAAACTGACCATATTTGTGCTGTCAAACCAGTCTTCTCAGATAACTCAACATATTAAAAAAAAAATGTTAAGTACTGTTTTTAATAAAACTGAGGAATGAGTCTCTAAAAGTGAAAGTGACTTGCTATTGCAGAAGCTGCCATTTAATAGACTGTGGAATACTTTTTCCATGGCAAAAGCAGCTCCTTTTCTAAAGAAAATTGAGTAATTTGGAGTTTCTAAGGAATGTAAAGTCTAAAGAACTTAAAACCTTCCCTGGACTTTGCATGAGTTGTGGATGCTTTTTGTATCTGCTGACTAGTACAGGGAAAAGTGGTGATGGTAACGAAATCAGTACTGAAAATCAAATCTGCATCTGCTGAAATTAGCTTTCTGCCTTTCCTCACAAGTATTTCACACCGAATCTAGGGCTGATCACTGTAACACAAAAAAATAAGTGATGTATGGAAGTATGTTATTATAAATCACAGAATCATAGCGGCTGGAAAAGACCTTTTAAGGGAAGAGTCCAACCATAAACCCAACACTACCAATTCCACTTCTAAACCATGTTCCTAAGGAAACCCCACAACCTGCGGGGGTCTGGGGACTCACTCCAGAGCACGGAGATGCTGTTGGTGTCCAGGTGTTGGGGACCAGCGAGTGACACAGTCAATGCAGTGGAATTCCGGGATGTGGGTCTGTCAGGGAGGCGGTGTGAACCGCCCCGGGTGTTTGTGTTTCTCTGCCCCTCAGAGCTTCCCCGGCCTGTGTATTCCCCCCGGCAGAGCCCTCTGAAGTCTGGCCCCGACCGGCGCCGCGCTTACATGACAAAGGGGCTGCGACAAGAGTCACCCCGCG